CCCCATTTGGAAGCAGACAAAGCTTCCAGTCTCCCTCTGGGCGAAAAGTGTTTGGGTGCCTATGGGGTGCTTAGAAACCGAGACTGGAAGTTTCATCTGCTTGCAAAAGGAAAGAGTGTGGCAGGCAGAGAGAGACGGCAGGGGAGGCTTGTGCTGCCCGGTCATGACACAAGCCCTGGGGAAGTTAGTGGAGAAGGAGGAGGTGGCTGCCGCCAGGCAGGTGATCTGCAGAGTGAAGCGGGGGCAGTCAGGACTGAAGAAAGCCCCTCCAGTGGCGGATGCTGTTGTGCAGCGGCGGCAGAGCTTTTCACTGATACTCCTCCCTACCTCCAAAACAGCAGAGGGAGACCAGGTAAGGCAACCCAGCCTTCCCCGCCCATCCTCTCTAACATGGCAATCTGGCTCGGGAGGGGAGTGAAAGAGAAGAGGCAGTCAGGCAGCTGGGTCATTGAACCGGTGGGAGGACATCGCTGAGTGAAGAGTGGCCTGGCTGTGTGGGCCCTGAAGCAGGTGCGGGGCGTGTGGGACAGCTCCACCCCCTCACTCACCTGCCTCACTTCATAGCAATGCCACTGGCGCCATGCCATATGGTCTCCTGTCGCAAGTTGCCACAGAAGAAGTGTTTTTTAATTAATAAACAATAGTATCCATGGGGAGGGGCATGATGGCTCAGTGGTTAAAGAATCTAAGTCTGTCAGCTAGAACAGAGCTTTTCAACCTGTTCATCCATTGAACCTCTTTTAGAATATGGCAACATCCGAGTACCACCAGTCGCCTAGCAAGGTGTCAAAAACTTGATGACCCTCCCCCAAAAGGAAAAAAGTGATATAGTACAGGTAGTCCTTGACTTACAACAGTTCGCTTAGTGACTGTTCGAACTTACAATGGCACTGAAAAAAGTGCCCCCCAAGCCGCAGCCGAGCAACCTTGCTCAATAGTAGTAACTGTGAGAGGGATCTCGGAGTCCTAGTGGACAATCACTTAAATATGAGCCAGCCGTGTGCTGCAGCTGCCAAAAAGGCCAATACAGTGCTGGGCTGCATTAACAGAGGGATAGAATCAAGTTCACGTGAAGTATTAATACCACTTTACAATGCCTTAGTAAGGCCACACTTGGAATACTGCATCCAGTTTTGGTCACCACGATGTAAAAAAGATGCTGAGACTCTAGAGAGAGTACAGAGAAGAGCAACAAAGATGATTAGGGGACTGGAGGCTAAAACATATATGGAACGGTTGCTGGAATTGGGTATGTCTAGTTTAATGAAGAGAAGGATGAGGGGGGACATGATAGCAGTGTTCCAATATCTCAGGGGCTGCCACAAAGAAGAGGGAGTCAAGCTATTCTCCAAGGCACCTGAAGGCAGGACAAGAAGCAATGGATGGAAACTGATCAAGGAGAGAAGCAACTTAGAACTAAGGAGAAACTTCCTGACAGTTAGCACAATTAACCAGTGGAACA